ACCAGTATTTGTACTTCATACATTTTAAAGCCAAGAAAAAAAGATATTGTGCTCATGTAGCCCTTCCAGAGACAGAGCATTTGCTTTACCTAATTCTTATGCTGAGTCCAAACTCTTTTGCTGAATTTAGACCTCTTTTAGGAAAAATTAAAAGTCTACCTTAAACTAGATTTTTCACTGAAATACTCCTCCAGAGCTGATAGACAATTGTAATGGATAATTGCCCTTAATGATAAAAATTACCCTATTTCTAATCTACATATGCTTAGTCTCCACTTGCAGTGGAATACATTCCTGACTGTGCTGGCTTTGATAAAGTTAATTTTCATCATAGCAGATAGTATGGTGTTGGATTTTGGATTTGTGCTGCAAACAGTGCGGATAACACAGGGGTGTTTTAGTGAACTACCAAGCAGTGCTTACACAGGGTCAAGGCCTTTTCTGCTCCTCACACTCCCCCACCAGCGAGTAATCTGGGGATGCACAAGAAGCTGGAAGGGGACACAGCCAGGACAGCTGAACACAAAGGGCCAAAGAGATATTCCATAACATGTGACATAATGCTCAGCATATAAACCTAGGGAAGAAGTAGGGGAGGACATTCAGAGTGATGGCATTTGTCTTCCCAAGTCACTGTTATGTGTGATGGAGCCCTGCTTTCCTGGGGATGGCTGAACACCTGCCTGCTGATAGGAAATAATGAATTAATTCCTTGGTTTGCTTTGCTTGTGTGTGAGGCTTTTGCTTTACCTGTTAAACTGTCTTTATCTCAACCCACGGCTTTTCTCACTTTGACTCTTCCAATTCTCTCCCCCATTATCGGAGAGGGGTAAAGTGAGCGGCTGTGTGGTGCTTAGTTGCTGGCTGGGGTTAAGCAACAACACTGAGTCATGTACAAACTCTACCAGTATCCATCACCCTATTTTGGAGGGATGGAGTCACTGTTAAAAAACACATTCTCTCAGCAGTGACTTTCCACTTATAGTTAGTTTTCGAGACATACCAGTTCTCAATTTATGTATGTTACACTTACTGTGTAGCTTTATAGTTTCATAACCCCAACATCATGTGGAATTAAGTCAAATGTCATACCAAAGTCTAAAGTTATCATACAAGCATTAATACTTACCAAAGCAGTTATCTCCTCACAAAATACCTACTTAGTTTGACAAGATGTGTTTTCCTAAACCTATGCTGTTTAACATCAATTGTTTATTTTAATATTTTATTAATTGAATGAAATTTCATTATTTTGGCAGGATTTCTGTCAGGATGACAGGCTGTGATTGCTTAGCTCACTCTGCTTATCTTCTTTAAAATGTCATCCCTTTCCTACCACTTTCCACCCTGTGGTATGTTCAATGTGCAGAACAACTTTGGGGCTTAGGAGAAAAAGCACATTTTCTTTGAGTTGTTTTGCACTGTGAAAATCACTTTCTCCATTCAGCTGATTTTGAGAGCAGTGAAGAGCAGCCAGGAATGAGTCTAACCAGGAGGCAATCATGCTCTGAGCAGCTCAAACTGCTCTCATGAGGCCAGCAGTAGGTGTGAAGGAGCAAACAGCATGGCTGGGCTAACCAGCCGTCAGCTCTCAGTAGCCCCACAGTGATGACAAAGGGATTCCCTGTGCCCAGACCTGTACTCTACTCCCCAGATACACTGCTGTGAGTTACTGCAGTGCATGGCTTGGTGTTTCTTTACACGACAAGGGAAAGGATTCTTGTTCAGTTCTGAAAGCACACACCTTTTGTGGGGTTTATAATGGTACAAAGAGTGGGTACAAAGAAGGAGGCAACGGTGAGAACCGTTTTCCTGCATTTCATCAAAGCTTTTGCAAGACAGTGAAACAACTGAACATTGTTAAGGTAGTGTGGGACATCTTCTCAATGTTTTCTCTAATAATTCCAGTGTTAGAGCAGGGTTTGGGAGCCATGTCTTCTCTCTTCTGCAGAGTGCTGAAGAAGGGCATTGCTATTCCATGCGAAGTAGCACAGTTGCAAGAGGGTGCTATTGGTGTCCTCGCCCCAGGATAATTTCTGATCATTAAGGGCATGACACATGCGGGGCCAGCCTCTTGCAGGCCTAACCTGTTTTTTCTACACTGTGGGTGATGAGCTGGGGGCTGTGACCCAGGCACAGGAGGATGGAGAGCCTCCCCAGCCCTGGCTGCCCCAGGGAGCAGAGCCCTGAGCCCCATCCCAGGGGGATGGAGACATCAATGCCACCTTAACATCAAGAGCTCAGACCCACCAAGAGGTACCTCTCTGAGGACATGGCACTTCCCAGGCACCGTGGTGTATCTGTGAAGTTCCCCCCTCGACTGACTTCCCCACCTGCTGCTCACAGGCATGCAGCACAGCAGGCACATGGAGGCATCCATGCGGGCCAGGCTTGGGCTTCCCGTCAGCACAAGGAGATTAAAAGCAGTTCTGCTCTTCCTCAGTGGATAATTGTGAGGAGAAATGTATTAAGGACATACAAATGCTACGGCAATGAAGGCTATGTGAATGCATACCGAGAAGTGCAGAAAATAGCATGCAACCAGGAGCTTACTGGAAAAAGAGTGGGCATTTCCAAGGAAAACAAGATTACCTAGCACTGCAATAATAAGGAGTAGAAACAGAAAATACTTGTTAAAGCTGTATAAACCCACCAGCCACTAAGAAACGGGCTTTCAGTGTGATTTCTCATGCTTCTTTCTGAGTGCCTGGTCTGGACCAGTGAGGAAGGGAACTCAGCCTGGTGGATTAAGGGTTGCCTCCACATCAGCAATTCTTGTTTTCCTGTCAGTAATAACTACATATAGGCTGTTAGGAATTGCATTCATTATTCGGTCCCACATATATCTGTTTATTCTCCATGTAAAAATACTGTGATGAACCATCAGGGAGCATGTGGAGAACAGGCACGTGACAAGCCTTGCTTTATACCCTCTCTGCCATTTGTCAGTCTCGTGTTGTGCCAAGGAACAACCCTGTCTCACCATCACGGTTCATTTTACAAATGGTTTGGTTGATCCCACTTTGGAGGAAGAAAAATGACAAGGATGGCCCTACTTGCCCCATTTTTTATGATCTCATCTAATTTTACATGGTATCTGCTGATGCATATGTTTCTTCTGATTTCACTGCAACCTTTTGTGCTTGTCAGGGCAACACCAGGAGGGTGGAGTTGGCCCTGAGACCGCCTGCTCCTTGATGCAAACAATTTGTCATCTTTCAAATGACCTCTGTTCTGGAATCTTAGAAAGTAACAATACTGGAAACTTTCAGGGAGTATTAAAAACGTCAGCTTTATCACAACACAATAAATAGTTCCATCATCCACTGAAAACTGACTTCTGCAGCTGACACAGTAATAAACTAGAAATTCAGGTGCTGAGGTAGTCTGGGAGTGGACACACAGTCAAAGAAGGAGCAAGGAACCATTAGCTTTTCAAATCACTTTTAATTTTTCAGCTTTACTTTTCTCTCCCATAGGAAAAAGCCCAACAAAAACCCAAAACACAGAAAACCCACCCTCACAGTCAGTATATGTACAACAAATCGAAGACAATATTTGCCAGACAAGTATGATCAGCGTGATAGCATGTGTTGAATGCTGATGCATGTGAGAAAGATAGGACCTCTTATGTGACACCAAATGCTGAACTGCCTATAAATTATCAAGCTGCTGGCTTTAGTATTTTGATTGCTTCATTTACCTAGCCTTTTTCTAAGGTGCTCCTGCAGATTCTTCTGGGTGACTGATGCCAGTTCTTCTATAGATCATGCAACTGATAAAACGAGTCTTTTCTCAGTAATTGTGTGCTTCAGGATTTTACTTAAGGAGGGTTAAACCTAAGAGTATGCGTATGTCTTTTCCTAATCAAACACAGGAGGCACAGCAGATATTGGCTCACAGTAAATGATGCAGGTGTGATGACATATTTCAACTTGTGCACCCATTTGTGATGTGTATAACAGGAAATTCAGAATTTAGGATGTATCATCAAATAATTAGACTCAAGAAAAAAGCCTTTTCCTATATTTAATTCTTTCCCCCACTTCACTGAAAATGTGGATTTAGACAGTTGTGTTGACTGATTTATTATTAAACTTCATTTAGGGTGGCCCAAATTCTCATGACGTTTATGTGGTTGCATACACTGATTTAAAGGTCTCTTCCCCCTGCAATACACTGGTGGTGCTCATGCCATTGTCTGTTGCCTACCATCTTTCGGAAAACAGGTGTCCCCAAAAGCGTGGGAAAAGGAATATGGCCCTGAAGGAAAAGATTTGAACTAAATGCCACCAGTATTAGTCTTGATGCAAAGTGTTGCTTGTTCTGAGTGTACTTACACACAATTCTAGCCCTAAATTTAATAAGAAAAATGTAATTATAATTGTTTATATCTTTATGGGTTAACATTTCTTAATGTTGACATTTCTTAACTATTGGACATACCATTTAAAGATGATGTAATGGGAAAGAAACTTGTCAACTGTGGTCCTCTAAAAGCTGTTGACAAATGTAATAAAATTCCTGCTCTTTTAAAACAAATGCCCCTTCCTCGCCTCAAGGGTACAGTGAGAGCAGCTGCTGTACTGATTGGTAGGCACCGCTGCAGCTCCCCGACAAACCTTCCCTAATGCGGTTTGAAAGCCTACCCTTATCAGTGTAACGTCTCTCTCTCAAACGAAATCTGATGCAGCAGGAGATGGCAAATGCCAAGGGAGGAGAGGTTTCCCACGGGTAGCAGAGCTGAGCCTTTTTCCTTCGTGCTGAGTGCATGGACAGCACTGACACAGAGAACTTGGTCATCTGGGGACCATGATAAGAAATATCTAGTACCAAACTAGTTGATCGCTTGGGAAAAAAATGGGTCCTAAATGTGAAATATCCTCTTTGCATGTATCTGTGGCCCTGGCATAGTGCTATTGCATGGGTGACTGGAGCATATCTGATGACACACTGCTTATTTGGGAGAACTCATGCGTTTTTCCACACTCTTTTTACAGCTCCCAAGTCTACTTTTTGTCCCACTGAAGAGACGTGGTGGCCAGGCCTGATTATTATCATTGCAGTATGCTGCGCCACACTAGTGTTCCTCTTCATAGTTGTCATCATTTGCTACAAAGCCATAAAAAGGTAAGACTCTAGGTGCTTTTACTGTGCTGAGGGCAGTGCAGGCCCACGAAGGCTGACCCAAGACTTGGCTGACTCCTTGTTTTGTTTAATGGCATCCTAAAGGCAAAAGGCGTCCTGTAGTCATTGTGTGTTTTCATTGGAAAGTCACTGTGTGTGCCGTATCCTGCCTGTGTAAAGACTGAAGTTTAATGCACAGTCATAGGCATGAGGAGCAGAAAAACCAGAAATGGGACAGGGCCACAACGCTCAGATTAATATGAACTCCTTAAATTCAAATTGCTGCAGGTTGCTGGGGAACACCGATAGCTTTGGTTTGGCCAAATATAGAGGAAGGAAACACTGTCCTCTCCAGTTCTGATAGTATTTAAAATTTACATGTGGGGTGTGAGATTTTTGGCCCAGGCCCATCACTAACTGTAGCATTTCAGATTGATGCAAGATCTTGTAATCCAAACTCTAGGGTAATTTTTGTAGTTTTTAATTTGGAGAATCTCCTTCTGAATTATTCTTGCTTCAAAATTATATTCTACAGAATCCATTTCAAAACCTGTCTCTTATTTTATAAGACTCTGTGAAGCCAATGTAGTGCGTAGTAGCCCTTTCAGCTTCCCTACCACTGTCTTTGCAATAGGTGTGCTTGCATAAGCCTCTGGTATTTAGAAATTATTGACTTCAGTTACATAGAAAAATGGGAGTGGGAATAATTTCTTCACCTAATAATATTTCATATTTCCAGTGGAAGAATTCAAACTCTGTAACTCTTGTGATATACTGCAGTGACACCTGAATCACAGTTTTGATTATATTATGTTTATTCATCTTTGGGATTTTTTTTTTTGGGGGAGGGGAAAAAGAAAATACCTTTCATGAAATATGGTATCTGCATGCAACACAACAGCAAGATTTTTCATGAGCCTCAGCAGGGCTGTCACAGTGGTGGAGGATTGCATGCGCTTTGTGGTAGTCAGAAAAATATATGCAGGATTTGAAGAACAGTATATCCCAGAGCATCAAAAAAGGAGAATTCCAGCAAGAAGACAGAAGTCTGTATCTAATTTCTTATAAAATTTACATAATTATCTTTGCTCTTCTAGTTTAGCTAAACTGAATGCTTATTAGTTTTGAGGAGTTGGAAGGCTTTCATTCTATCTATTGAACTTCTTAAAAATCATCTGCGGAGGAATGAAATTGGAGTTGAATTGGATTGGTAACACAGTTCAAAATTTCTTTCTTGTAGTTCCTCATCTACCATTGGCTGTTCACAGGGTACTGGTCCAATTCCATGTGGAAAGTTGTATTTGTTTCAAAAACAGCTATTTGTCTGCCTGGTGCCAAATTGTGAATGATTTCTGCCAAGCCTTCAAATTACACCTATGGGAGCAGTAACTCTCCAGGGCAACTTGAGCCTAGCGAGAAATTGCTTTTCAAATCTGCTCTGATGCTGGTAGATGGGAGGTACAAAAAAGAAACATAAACAGGCAGGTTTAGAGCTGCCTTGAAAAGGCTGTGGAAATTCACATAACAGTCGAGTTTCATGTCAGTGAAAAATAATACAGATACTTGATGAAGACACTCATTGTTTGTCAACAGTGTGATTATCAACATACCAGTCAGCCACTTAAACAAGCATTAGGCTCAGAGAAAAGTGTAAATTCCTCTTAGATCTTCTTATTGTTGACATTCACACTGCTGACAAATGCTAAGCTGAAAACTGCTTAGATGTGGGATGGACAGCTATAAAAGAAAATCTTATTAATTATATTTTTACAGACTAACTAGCGCATTTCTTTTCATCAATGAGTCCTTCCTCAAACAGCTCTGTTAAAAGGATGCCCTAATGTGCCTGGCAGCATTCCTCAGTAGTTCAGGTTCTTTAATCCACTGTAAAAGATATCTGTTGATAAATGCTGGGAAATAAGATAAGACGCTTCACAAGAGAAGCATCTCTGCCTTCGACACAGAGTATTATCCCATATTGTTTAGCTGAATTGGCTTTACCTAGTGTGAGAAATCCTTCACTCCATTTGTTGCTGGGAGGTGGAGTTGGCTAGAGAAAGAGCGAGAGGATTAATCTGGGTGATGCTGAAGCTGAGAGTCCCTCCATTATGTTCCCAGCCTCCAGCTCCATAAGCATGCTCTGCCCTGTCCTTTCTCGCACCTCCATCCTACCAGCTCATCTTTCCAGTCCTCCTGGGCCCTCATTCCTGCGCATCTCCCGGAACTGAGACCTCTGTCATTGTATCTCCAACAAATCTCTCTCGTACCTCCAAGGCAGTACAGTGTCTGCTGACTTATACCCATCCCCTTTAGATGTGAATGTCACCCACTCATTGGTTGGGTTATAACCTTGGCACAACCTATATGGCACAACCCTCTTCATCCAAGGAAAGGCACAAGCTGATTGCCTTGACTGAGAAATCAGAACCCAGCCTAAAGACCCCACCTTGCTTGCCCCGATTCTTTCTTAGCTCTGGGTGAGGGTAGCCTTGTGTCTCACTACTGAACATCATCCCATCCTTCTTGCACCATGTCAAGCATGGCTGCAGGTTTCAGAGGTGTCCCAGCCTTGGTTCCCTGCTGTCATGTAGCTGGTCATTGCCGGGGAAACCCAGAAGAGTGGCCAAGTATGGTGAGGACAGGACTGTTTACAGTGCCCATCACAAACTGACCTGCGAAGCCCTCTCCTGCTCAGTTCTGTCTCTCTGAAACAGGTATGAAAGCACTTGCCTACATCTCAGGGCTGTCACTGAGATTCATCACTTGCTTTCTGATGAACAATGTAAATGTGAAAGTGGCAGGATTTATTATCCAAACATATGCTTCCTAAAATCTTACATGAGACTGTCACCCTCCAGCTTTTTTAGACAGGGTTGTTTTTTTACCACTTCCTGGGGGAGCAGGAGAAGGAGATCCTTGTCTTCACATTTTGAAACCCTCATTCTGATGAAATCCTGGGTTGTGACAGAACCTGGAGGTGCCAACAAGCATGAAGACTGGGCTTGGCAGCAGCAGATGTCTTGTATCTTTTTTTGATGTAACAGGAAAAACATGTAAAAATTCTCACCAGCCCATCAGCTAAAATGGGCTGGTGAGCCCATTTTGGTAAACCAAAATAAAAATACCAAGTACCTTCTGAACATGAGTTCAGATCAGATGATAGCACCATTTTTATCCATGGATAGATGTATCCTATATGTACATGTCTCTGTATCCTATATATCCTATCTATTGTAGATCCTATCTACTGTAGTAGTCATATATGGTATATATCTCCCAGTGACAAATCCATAAGAATTACAGAAGAATATTGCAAAAGCTGAAGTGGAATAACTTGATTTCTCTGCTTGTTAGTCTTCCAAATGAAGTGGGGTTTACAGCCTAACGATTAATGCCATCTGTATCTTATTTAGCCTAAAGCATACAGATCAGGTTAATTAGCAGTGTAAGCACTGAGAAATGCTGAGGAGTGAAATAACAGCAGTCATCTGGTTGTAGAGTGTAGCAAGAGTTAAATGTTTCAGTAGGAGAGTGCAGGCAGAGATGTATTTGCATAGAGCTTGGATCTGTTGTATTAATCCCTCACTTTCGTAAGAATCAAATTTGAAGTAGAAAGAAAAAGAAAAATCCTATTGTGCTTAAGTTAAAATCTCATTTACTGGTTTCAAAGGGCCAGACCCAATCAAACTGCCTCATTTCCGCTTTTTTTGTATCAGGAATAGAGGGAGGGACCAAGGTATCCTAACTCAACAGTATTTTTATTTAATCTGTATAAATACTGTTTTTTCTGGGATGGAGTGTTTTCCCTCGTAAAAACTGAAACTTTAGCATATCACCACTTTTAGGCACTAAGGCTTTTTGTGACAAATACAATGTAGTAAATAGGTGCTTGTTTGTATAAAATAACTACCAGAACCAAGCCAGCATGCTGCTACCTTTATCCCTGCATGTCCCCCGGAAATATTCAGGTTCTCCCAATATAAAAGGCATAAGAAATGCTGAAGTCCATTCCAGTGCATGGATTTGACTTCTCTGGTCCATTTCCTATGTGATCTGAACATCCTGTGTGTGGTGCTGGCGTCTGCAGTGTTGGGCACTGCATGACCAGCACACCAGTTACAGATGTGTGCGGCTGCATAGATCAAGCACCAGAGGAGATCACATGTGATACTGTGTCGTGATGCAGCATGGTTACACACATGGCGATAGCACCCTCAGTTTGGCAGTGTCAGAACAGATATTTTCCCTGTTCTTGGTGACAAAGTGATGCTTCCTTTTTTAAAAAAGGTGAATTTTCTTTCAAGAAACTTTTTTATGGCACATTATAAAAAAAAAATAAAGGGATTGGGACTTGGTGCCAGCAGCACTCACAGTCTGTAACATTTGTAGATGTCTAGGACAGGCTTAGTCACTCACTGGCCATGGCTCAGGTCCCTTCTGGGCAGTGGGACTTCTCTGCTCACTTTGTGGATAAGGAAAGTGATCTGACAACCAGCAATTTCTGTAACTCCTAGCAAAGGCAGACAGAATAACTGGCTCAAAATCTGGGATACCTCCGGGGATTTCTCTACCATGTT